TGCACTCCTCATTCCAAACATCATCAAGTACAAGTAGAAACTTCTTGTTAGACAGCTGTTCTTTCAACTTTTCTTGAAGCAAATTCAAATTCAAGCTTTGCAGATCACAACCTCCCTTAGTTAATTCCATTAGAATGTTTTTTGTGATGCTCATAACTTCAAATTGATCAGAGACACAAACCCAGGCTTTGAGCTGAAAGTTTTCCTGCTCCACCGCCCCGTAAACTTGTCGAGCTAGAGTGGTCTTGCCAATACCTCCCATCCCAACAATGGGAAGAACACAATACGCCTCCGAACCCCCTTCACCATTAAGCAACTTTTGAAGAATGGCCTCTTTATCATCCCTTCGACCATAAACATGCGATTCAAGTTGAGGAGTAGTGGGTACCCATCCAGTAGCTGCTCTGTCAAGCTTCTCTCCAGCTTGAATTGTGGAACTCACTAGACACAAGGGCCCCGATTGTGCTATCATGTCTTGCAATCTCTCAGCTATCAGCTTCACTTTAGAAATGGTATCGGAGTCAAACACAAAATCATTGTGTTTGAAACAAGGAAAGCATTTGAGGGTGAATTTGCTGGTGCAACCTTGGTGAGGTTTGGCCATCACAGTGCTCCTCTGGACATCAGCGCGGAATCCATCGAGAACGTCCTCCATATCATAAGCCAAGTCCCTGAGATCATGAAGCCATATCTTCACAGAGCTGTCAGTTATCTGTTTCTGTTCAGCATCATTGAGTACAGCACGGATTCGTGGAAAAGACAATTTCCACTTTCGCAGCTCAGCGTGGACTTCTTCTTGTAAGTCGTTGGAATTAAGGCGGTCATCCAACTTCTGGAGCAGCCACTCGAAAGCAGCAGATAATAGAGCATCTCCAGCCATAGACAGGATTTCCATCGTGTAGAACAAGTTTCCTATAAGACTGAAGTTTAAGATTAGAAGTTATTATCCTCCCAATGATATATCAAAACGAAAAAACAATCAAAAGCAATTAGTTTTCATACTATTGAGCGTTGATCTGTTTTGAATTCATTCCTTTTTAAAGCCAAAATAATTTTAAAGGGTTTCATTGAGAAGCAATCATTTTTAAAAGATTGCAGATCCGAGGTGCACAAAAAAAAAAAACTGATGAAGAAGAAAAAACCAAAGCGATGTAAAAAAATGCAGAGTAATTAGAAGCAGAAATATGTAATATTGTACCTTTGCCTTTAGCTTGAACTTTTTTTAAATTTTTTTTCTCTCTTTGAGGGAACAGAAAGTCAGGAACAAGAAGATTTAGTACGGAAAAATTGGGTAAAAGAGAGGGAGAGTTACAGAGGATGAGCTTGGCATGGAAGAGGGATTGTTGCTGGGTTTGCTGAGTTTGCAAAAGTGAAGAAAGAAAGTGGAGGAAGGTTGTTGCCCTCTAATGAAGAGCTTTTCGACTTTTCACAAGACCCGCTTACTGAGAAATTCCAATTTCACAGTTGACTCTCAATTGATTTTGACTTCTTAAATGTCGAATTTGCCCTCCCAATTTGCAACTGATTGTGGTTTTTCGGACTTCCCCAAGCCCCAGGAAAAACCTCCCTAATTCAACTAAAGCTGCAGAGGCTTTTCAATTGATTAAAGACCTTTTAAACAAGATAATATAAAGAGAAGACTTTGGTGATTATGGCAGTGAATTAAATTTAAACAATAACAATAATACGACGAAAGTAAGTATACATCATAAATTAAATTAATCCACTTCGTAAGAAGATA